GGAAAATGCAAGTTTCAAGATATTTGGAATATTTTATAATTTATTTGATCTACACTATGTTGTCCCCACATTAAGTCCTTGAATTTGAGGGTGTTGGACCTGGAAAGTCCTTGAATGGTCCTTGAATTTGAAGTTAACCGAGGTGTGGGAACCCTGTTTAATGTGAAGCCCTGAACACAGGCAAGCTCTTAAGTTTTTCATCTTTGTTTGTGCTCATCTCTTCCTCTTCCGGGCGTCAGTGGATGGGAACGTGTGGGCTCAGGTGATCGCGCTGTACCCGACGTTGGTGGAGTGCATCACGTGCTCGTCTCCTGAAGTGAGCTCCGCCCTCAGAGACGCCCTCGGGCCCTTCAAAGACTTCATGCAACCGCCCGTCTCCAAAGTGCAAAACGGCGAATCGTGACTGAGCGTTTTTATTCCACCGCGAACATGAATGTGACTGTTTCATACACCACGCGTGAGGACTCCATCGTCATGGCAACTGTTGATTGACAGCTCCAAATCCCATCATTCTAAGCTTCTTCTAATACGAGCTGACGGTAGACTCTGATTGGCCGACTTTAACGATGTATTAACTGCTACGGTAAATTTGCAGTGTTTGTTGTTTTTATGGGTTTTCTGGTTTTTCCTCCTCCCTTAATGTACAGTGTTTGGTGATAGTGTTAAAGATGTAATTAAAGATAACGTATTTGGATTAAAAAAATCGAATCCAGAAAAAAAAAAAAAATCATTTAAATGAGAGAGCGGAAACATCGTAATAAATACATGAAGGATGGTCCTTTTTTTTGTGACATTTTCTCAACAGCAATGAATTTTATGCAAGATGTTACTGTAACATTCCATGTCATCTTTAGCCGCATTGAGAAGGGTTGAACCCGGTGTGTGTACAATAATAAATGGTACAGTTCTATGAACATCAGACGTGTCGCTCATCTGGTTATTCATTAATATTTTACTTCCTGTAGGAAGTTTACGTTCCAGCACCGGCCCTGTGTTTGCCTCGCCATACTGCATCTAACACCACTTCAAACTGTGTAATGCATGCTTGCAGCTTATGATATCATATTAATTCTGAATATTTGAGCGTTGAAAATTTTATTTCAGCATAAAACAGTTTAAAAAAAGGCAAAAACTGATCAAAAAACTCCTCAATTTCCCATTTATATTTTACCTAAAATCTTAATCCTGAAAAAAACAATCACTTGCATTTGATTTACAGCCAAAAACAAACAAACAATTGGATTTTCGTTCAAATTGTCTTCACTTTTAAGTTAACGGCATGGTTGTAATATTTTTGGAGGAAGCCATTTTGCCTCAGTACGACTGAAACGCTGGATTGACCAATCTCTCTCTATATATAACACTGAAACATATGCATACATATATATATATATAAAATAAAAGCTATTTTCTGTATTTTTATTTATATATATATATATATATATAAATAAATAAATAAAATAAAAAATATTTTCTGCAGTATATTTGATGTACATTCAAACTTCCATAACTTTTTCATACTTAAACTTTATAGAAGACATTCAGCAGATTATTGCTGAAAATGTACGTATATATTACAAAGAATTTTTGAATTACAACCTTTTAAGTTTAGATGGTCCTTTTTAAGTCTTTTATTAGAAAGGGTGGTGACAGATAAAGGATTATTTCTCAGTACTTCTTTACAGTAAGTGTTTTTTATTATTATTGCTTAAAGAAATATACAAAATACCAAGCAAACCTCAAAAAGACAAATCTTATTACATTTCAAAAAAGTCCAAATAGCAGGAAACAGTAAACACCATAAACCTAAAGAACAAATGGAATTCAATAATCAATATCATATTACACAAGGGGGTTATAAGCAAAAAAAAAAAATACCCTTAGAACATTAAATAATTTAAGGGATGCGATTTATGAGATCTTTACCGTAAGTGAGCGTCAATCCAAAAAAAAAAAAAAAATCAACTCATTCAAAATCACGTGTTCAAAGTCTCGTGTGAAGTCAGGAATGCGCCATTGGCTGAAGAATGCCTGAGGCGTGGCCACTTTTGGGGGTGTGTGTGTCGTGGGCGGTGTCCCTCTGACACCCCATTGGCTGCGCTCCCAGCCAATGACGGAGCAGCTGAAGGGAGTGTAGCCCGCTCACGAGACGAGTACTACGACCATTCAGCTCGGAATCTTCGCGCGCTCTGGAACGTTCAGCGCGAATTCTTGGAATTCTTTTTAAACGGATTCGAATTCTCTGCGTTCTACTGGTCATGAAAGCGATTTATCCGTGCACTGGCTGAGGTAGTAGTTTGTGCTGTTGGTTGGGATGTGACATTGCCCGTTATGGAGATGACTGCGCAAGCTACTCCCTTGCCAGTGCTGGTTACACTCTTCCCAAGCTGGAATGCGCTTTAGGATCCAAATCGTCTGGGGGTGGGGGAAATATGTTTTTATGTGAAATGTGTGTGATGTAGTCATAGTTGTGTGCATGTTAAAATTGTTCTGAGAGTTGTAAACGTGTGCTCAATGGTAAGTCTAATTTAAATTCAATAAATGTGTATTTTATGAAACACACTGCTGTCGTAAGTGTCTTTTTTGCTTCTATTAATCTGTGTGTGTGTGTTTTTTTTTATGATCTGGTCTTTTTGCCACTGAGTTATGAATTAATGCGGATTGGCCATATGCCCTAGTTTTCTTCAGTTTTTTTTGTCGAGCACAGCAGAAAAGCAGGTATTACCCTCGGGAACACGACGGGTTGGGTTATTCATTTTAATAGATGCTTGATTTTGCCCTTGGGATGGCTAATACATGTAGGTCGTACTCTACTGTTGCTATGAAGAGAGCTGTGACGTGGCTTTTTCTGCCCACTACCGTAGAATCATCGATCTTGACGTCACGTGGTACCGACCGACACCTGGATGGTTTGCACTACTCAACCTGAGCACGTGCGTCTAGTAGTGTCCATGGGTTAATAATTGAATCCTTGTAATAAAAAAAAAGTTCAGTCAAGGTAACACATGTGGTGTGTTGAATGTGCACTGGTGTCAAGAAAGGGTTATCCTCATTTAACCCTCCGTTAAACTATAACTTAGAAATATGACTATGGGGGGTATATTTGCACATGCGTTATCTTGATCTGAATCCTATTACAGTTTTGTCCCAAAAAAGAGCAAGTATATATCAACACGTGTAGGCTAAAGTGATATTGATAAACACTCATCTGAACATTAACATCGCATGTTTATTAACTGGAACTGCGCAAATTGTTAATGAATCTGTGTATCTGACTCTTGATCTGGTGCATGTGGTCCGGTCGCAGTTAACTGGGTTTATTGCGGAAGTACATGATTAGTGTTGATAATGTGCTGACGTCATTCATGCAGTGAATTCAGCACGTAGGCTCAAAGCCATTCGTGTAAATCTGAGAAAATCCTTCAGTATTTCACTTCTAACCAGGTTCATGACCTCGAGTGTTTTAAAGATGTTCATGTTCGAACAGGGTTTAGATCCACTGCAGGCGTTTTAAACTCTGAGGATGTTGTTATTACCTCAGCTGTTGGCAGATCCATTCATTTATCAAATATGAGATCTTTCAGTTACTTCATCGCCAAGGAAGGTTTTATTTTCAGAGGATGTTCGCCAAAATTAGTACATGTAATTAGCAGATATTTTTTCTTTGATTAAGGGTAAATTACCCAAAAAATGAAAAGCAATCTCTTCACTCGACTCCCTCAAATTCGCATGATTTTGTCAACACAAAAAAAATGTGGTGCAAAAAAAAACTAAACACTAAATGACTTATTCAAGATGGATGCTACATATTTTACACCACTCACAAGGGAAAAATCACTACTCACGGTGTGTATGGCTTCCAGCAGGGTAGTGATGAAACGCGCTCTTTAGCGCTGTGTGTTCGGCTACGGTAGAACATGACGTCGCAATATGGCGACCTTCATAGAAGGGGATGCCCGCTGTTATTATGGAGATATAAATGTCTCATTCTAAGGTAATAAAAAAAAAATTAGAGTTTATTAAGTAAGTACCACTGAAAACCAGTGTTGTAGTACTCGAGACTCGGTCTCGAGACCATATTTTAATGGTCTTGGTCTTGTCATGGACTCGTGTCCATTTGGACTCGGAATTGACTCGTACTCGAACATTTTTTTTTTTAGGACTCGGAATTATTCCCCAGTCCACTCGAGTTCAATTAAAAATATTTTTCATGATTATTAATGTATGTTAATAAAATGTTTCTTTAAATTCATTGACACGCCCAGTGATTGGTGATTGTCTAGTGCGCAACTGCACATGACAAATTGTAATAAAATTACTTTTAACACCACCTACTATGTGGCCTTTTTACTCTAAACTGGTCATATTTTTTAAACTCTAAGTAAATTCAGTAAAAAAAAAAGGATTTCTCTAAGTAAATAAAAGTAAATTGGGTAATCAACCCTCACTGGTCTCGGTCTCGACTCGGACTCGACCGTCTCTGGTCTCGGACTCGACTCTCTCTGGTCTCGATGTCGACTCGGACTCGAGTGAGGTGGTCTCGACTACAACACTGCTGAAAACATAGTTATGGATTAACAAATCCTAAACTTTTTTACACATTGCACCTTTAATAATCAACATCAAAGACTGCGGCTATCCTTCACTGGATTGGTTTCATAATTCGTGCCTGCCTTAAAAGTCCATTAAAACCATAAAAGTAGACTTGTTAAATCACATGATCAATTACGATCCGTTTCTAAATCAATACTCACTGAAAATCTCCAGCTCACAAATTCGGCGCTTGAAAAATGCAACGCAAATTTAAATTTGCATAAGAGCCAATCAGATTGAATCAGCCACGGTCAATAATGACAACACGTTTGGTTTGGTGTGAACCTACGACTTTATTCTTTGAACAACTTTTAGTTTTACACAGGGAGTACATCATTTGGGTGAACATATGAAATTATTCCTGTTATTTTAGAAACATTTAGAAACATCTTAAGTGATTTTTTTTTATTAAAAATCTGTTGGCCGTTTCAATAAGCATTAATGGAGCCACATAAGCAGTGCATGAATCATTGTTGCAGTGCATGTGTGTGCACTTCCCAGAATGTGCCTTTAGTAAGCATGTGATGCCCTTGCAGCGCCGTCCACCCACACGAACGACTGCGCTAAAGTGTTAGAGAGCTGTACACACACACACACACACACACACACAGCTGAATCTGGCCAAATTAGTCTTGTTTTGGTCACACTCAGGTTGTGCTGACCAGATGGCCACTCTCTTGGGGAGTGTGTTTGCACATTATATGTGTGTGTGTGTGTATACGAAAGCCTTTCCAAATGCTCACAGCGGGTTTGTGCTGTAGAAGAGGAAGGTGCCACTGTGAACATGATGTAGCGCTAGTCAGCCCTCCACACGGGAGCCCTGAAGAACAGATTGCAATTCACGTACAGAAATCAAAGGTAAAGCTCGCTGAACAAAACACTTCTGCACTGACACGTCCTTACTGAGTGGAAGATCGAGTTTAGCTGTTGCACATATACAGCGCACGAGAGAGACAAACTGCATGTACAAATAACAGCAAGAATTGCTTTGATTTTTTCCCTGGAACCGCAAACTAAACATTCAAAGGATAAATGAATATCCTGAAAGGACAAACAAAACACGGTTGTTTCCGCCTAGCTGCCAGATGAGAGCGGATAAACAAACTGCGGTGGGTGCGCATCTGTCCACGAGAGCCTCAAAGAGTCATTGTGCAAAGTTATAACTCATATACCGATCCCATCATCCCACGCGGAGGTCGGGAACGCTGACGTGGGTCTTCAAAGTTGACTTTCAAGTCTTAAAAGCAAATGTCCGTGTTGTAAATGAGCTCAAACGCAGAGCGAGTTCCACAAACTCCAGCAAGACGCTGTGTGAGCATCCGAGCGTCGTGTTCGAGACGGGTTCAGTCCCATTCGGTAGGCGCCCTGCCTCCTGATTGGTCAGCTCGGCTGAGGCTCTTTACGGTTCAGTAGGGGAATTATGAAGACCGAGATGTCATCTCCAGAGCCCAGCCGGTCTCCGGCGATTCTCCATCCTCGGTCCCTCAAGACTCCCCTGGCCTTCATCACCAGGTCTTGAGCTGCCATAGTGTACCTGAAAGATAATTAAAGGGACAGTTCACCCAAACGTGACGATCAATCATCATTTACTCATCAATGCCTTTATATTCCACAAAATGTTGCAACGTACGTTCTTTTTAGAATGTCCACTGAAAGTAACGATTCTTCTATGACATCACTTTATTTTTCAGTCTCATATTAAAAGCCAAACCTCTTTCTCTCCTACAGTACGTTAACCTGTGTTACGCTCTCCCGTGTCTTGAGTAGATAGTTGATACTCAACCAAAACTGAGGAACCTGCCTGTGCTGGTCATCTGGGTCACAGTTTCCAAGGAAACCAGACACCGCCTCTGCCACTTCCTGATTAGACAACACATCCCAGAGTCCATCTGTCGCCAGCACCATGACATCATCAGTGCCGTGCTCGTGCTGAGACAGGTTATAGACCTTCACCTGTGGAAATGACACAAACATTAATAAATCCCACTTTCATGTGCCAATAATTAGTAAATCAGTGAATTTATATTACTGAGACACTCCATGAGTTTAACTCGTGGGGCCAGGCCCGGATTGGCCATCTGGCAATTCTGGCACATGTTTTTTGTGATTTTCTATTGTTTTGGGCCGAGACACAGATAGTTGCGTTTTCTGATTTTATGTAAATTAATTTTATTCTGATGTTTATTTATTTGTCCCTGTATAATATTTGTTTCACGAACTGTGGTGCTTGTATGTTTGTAACTTGCATTCTAATAAAAAAAAAAAAATAAATAAAAAAAAATAGCAGTGATGAATTGTTCTCTTTTAAAATGTTTGATTTTAAAACTGATACCATGTTTTATGTGTAGCCTATACATATAGGTGAATAAACTCTCTGATATGGGTTAGTATGTCATTTTTATTAAAACATATAAAAACACGTCTGTATTAAATAAATAAAAAAAGATTGATAAAAACATATTTGAAATGTAATTAAATAACAAGTACTTTGGGTGTCTTGTTCATTATATTTATTTTCATATAAAAGCAACAGAAGAACTTAAATCACATCCAGTTTATTAGCAACATGTGCACGAGCGTGAATCCCGCGATATCAGACTTTGATCTCACAGGTGTCTGATCCACTGCGAGAACCGAGACCTGTCCGGCTTGATTGCGCTTTTTTCACTTCTCCCCTCACTCTCACTACAGCCGCCTACTCTCGACTACATTTCAGGCGAGGCAAGGCGCATCTCAAACAAACAAGCCTATTTTTAGGGATGGCTGAAGCGAAACAGACGTTTCGAAGCTTTGCGAGATCCCGAAGCGTGATTCAAAACACCTACGTCACGTGACTACGGCTAATTAGTGTTTCAACAGGTGGAGTGCTCCACCGAATCAGGGTTGAAACCCGATGGTGAGGTAAAGACGCTGCGCTTACAAAAGTGTTTGGAAAGTTTGGGGATCAGGAAGGATGTCTTTACATTGATCTTGTTGTTACACTCAAGGCCCTGAGCGAGAAAGACAACATGAAGCCGACTGTGTGTGCCGACGGTTATGCAGAGGCTCTGCTGAAATACCAAACCATCCTCACTGGTCACTGCCCAGACGTTTTTACGCATCTTCCAACAAACAACTCCACTTTCCAAGTATTTGCAAACTAGTGGAATGGAAACTTGAAATGTAACGGTGTGGTGCCTGAATGCCAAACTGGTCAGACACGATAGCAGAGCAACTCCTGAGGCCTTACAGGGTGAACTACAGCCTGGGACAAGCTGAAGGTGTCTGTGCGCGAAGAGTATCTGACCAAGATGAGTACTGAGGATGGAGATGATGAGCAGACTCCAGATGACGAATGGGATGTGAACAAAACCTGCCAATCTTGCAGAAAATGTCCCATCTGTTGTTATTATGTCCTGCAAAGTTATAACCTGCTCACTGACTCCTACCATCTAATCGGACTTGGATACAAGTTTCTGTTAGCTCTGTATGTGACACAAGTTGCATGTGAGCGAGGCTTTTCCACGTTAAAATTAATCGAGAATCGATTAAGGAGCACATCGGAGGAGCATCTTGAAGCCTGTATGTTGATGGCAGTCGAAAAAGAGACTCTGGTTTCTTTGGACGCGGATTGCGTCATTGAAAGGGTGGCGGAGACGAGCGCGCGCTGATGCAATAAGGTAGGTCATGCTTCTTTTTATCATACCCGTATTTCCCGCACTATAAGTCGTTTATTTACTGCTGTCGTTTTTTGAGAAAATTAAAGGCTTTTAAGCGCGCCTTATAGTGCGGAACATACGGATTATATTTATTTTATTGTGGTTTGGTCATGCACCTTTTTCTTTATTAAGCAGTTGTGTTGTGTGCGTCGGGCCGCTGTGCCATGCTCGTGTGTCTTTGGCCGCTGTGCCATGCTCGTGTGTGCGTGTGTTTTGGGCCGCTGTGCCATGCTCGTGCGCGTGTGTCTTTGGCCGCTGTGCCATGCTCGTGTGATTTGGGCCGCTGTGCCATGCTCGTGCGCGTGTGTTTTTGGCCGCTGTGCCATGCTCGTGCGCGTGTGTTTTGGGCCGCTGTGCCATGCTCGTGTGTGCTGTGAGGGTCCGAAATAAAGTTTTTGGCTCACCTGCCACGGGGACTGCAGATGAAAAAATCCACCGGCCAAGCATATTTTTTTACCGGCCAAAATAATAATAATAATAAACAGCCTTTTTGTGTCGCATATACATTAATTTATATATAGGCTATATTTAAACTTTTATATACACCCATATTACACAATTTACACACATTAAAATAAGATGTTTGTTGTGGCGCCTATGAAAATAGTTCTGTACAAACTAGCCTTTATGTTGATGGCAATCGACCTAAAATCGATATTTTTTTTTTCTCATTTATTTAAAGTCAGTGGCGGCTGGTGAAAAATATCTTAGGTGGGGCCGTGTCATATTTGGCATTTTCAATAGTCTGGTAACCATGGAACTCGGGTCTTTTAGCATTTGTGCATGCTCTTCCTCAAGGCAGCCGTCAAGCATCCACCCTTCTCTCCATCAAAAACCTCTTAAAACACTTTAAAAAATCTGAATATTACTCTTTAGCTCACAATCTTCCATGACATGCTTATTTTTGTACACTTTGATGTAGACCTCTGCCTTGTTATGGATATTGTAAGTAACCTCTGAATATTACTTTCTGTCATCTTTGATGTTGAGGTTTATTTATTTTTTTATTGATTTCTTAACCTATATTGTAAACAGACCTGGGTTGTTGGAAAGGCTATATAATTAACAATTCTTATTATAATTAATTTTAATAAACACCCAAATAGAATTTAAGGATACCAGTGCTCTGTGAAAAAGTAATTATTTAATGCCAGTATAAAAAGTTAGGGGCATTCTTGCACAAAAACAAACGTACTGCATAAACTTTTTATTTGAAATTGAACTCAAACAATATACTTAGTGATTGCTTAATTAGCTGATTAAATTAAAAGTATTACTCACAACAATTTTTGATTTATAATAGATACTTTTTATAAATTAATACATTATATATATATATATATATATAATTAAAATATTTAAAAATCAAATAACATGTATTCATTTGTAAAAAAAAAAGTATTATAGGGTTATATTGTGTTATTTATTATAGGGTTAATATGTATATAACATAGATAGATGGATATAAATCATATTGGATGCCAGTGTCTGATTGTCCTCGTGACCCATCCTCGACCTTTGACCCCGTGTGTGTGTGCAACAGACAGGAGACGAGCGACTCGATCTCACCAGAGCACAGTTGACTGAGTTCCACACGAGGCACAAGCATATAACGGGTGAAAAGTGCATCGAGGAGGAGGAATAAGAAAAACAGATCAAAGAGAAGCAGAGAGAGAGAGAGATGCAGACGGCGGGACGAACCGTGGATGAACTTTACACAGCGTGTGAATTAAAGATCAAGAGAGCTTCAGAAGATTTGAGGAGAGGAGAGACTCGTGTCACTGGAGGATCTGCCGCTTTAACTCACAAACACGAGCACAACTGTGCCTGAGGTACTGATGTACAGCGCATTCTCTCCATATCTGAGCTTATAGAAACATTAATAAGCAAAACAGAGCCAGAAACCCTTGCAGAAGTGCTGTGATGTCGGCAACGGATGGGACTTTTATATCCGTAGATGCTGATCCAGAAAAACTTCATATTTACTGACAACCGCAATTTCAAGATACTTCTGAAAAACTCTGAAGAGTCTGAGAAACAAGGCCTTCCCATGATGTCCGAAAAACATGATAATACCATGCAAATCGCATCCAAAAACATTGTAATGCCATAGTAAATGTCCACAGTATGGTAATCTCATGTTATCAGATGCAAAATCATAACATAATATCATATCAAGGTCCTAACAAGTATTACCATGTTACTCGATCAACAAAACATGATATTATCACAGCCTTTCCAAAAACATCATAATAACATGATAAAGCAATTAAAAATAAACAGTAATACAATGGCTTTTTTTTTTCAATATAAAAATAGGTAAAATCATAGTAACATTTTCAAAAACACAGTAATATCATGGTACTTTTTACAAACAACATACTGTACTAATAGCATGGTAAATGTTTGCATCATTGATATACTATTATACTTTTTATATAATACTTTTTTCTTTCTTTTTAGTCATTTTGTTGTTTGTCTATATAGTTTTTATTTCATTTTATTATTATTTATTTAATGTTCGTTATATTAGTACTTCAACTTGAACTAAATGAAAATGAGAAATGTTGTAGCTGACAATAAGCTAAATTTATATATATATATATATATATATATATATATATATATATATTAGGGCTGTGCAAAAATTAATTACAATTAATCGCATCGCATCCAAAATAAAAGTCTGTGTTTACATAATATATTTGTGTGTGCTGTATATAATTATTTTGTATATATAAATACCTATGCTTGCATGTATATATTTAAGAAATATTTGCGCTTAAATTCTGTATATATATATATATAAATACATAATCTATATTATATAAATATTTTATATATGAATAACACATTTTGTTAAATATATACATGCATGTGTGTGTATTTATATATACAAAATAATTATATACAGCACACACAAATATATTATGTAATTTTTGCACAGCCCTAATATATATATTGATGCAGTTAATGTTTATTTTGTTTTAAGTAATGAACATTTTTAGTTAATGATAATAATCCTGCTATAGCATTATATTAAAAACAACAACAAAAGAATACAGTAAAAATATGATAATACGATGGTGCCATGTCCAAAAAGACCAATACCGTGGTCTTTCTTAGCTAGTGAAGTTATGAAGTCATCTGGAGTGTGTGTGTATGTGTGTAAGGTTTGTACAAACCTCAGGAGAACACAAGAGGAAGGGTTTGATAGCGATGTCAGAGTCGTGAACCTTCAGGTCGTGATCGCCGAGTCCTCGAGTGATGCCAATGGTGGCCAGAACACGAGCCTGAACGACACACACACACACACACACACACAACCCGTTTACTTCCCCAATTTGCCGTATTTCCTGGTCAAACTAAAGAGTGTCTCTACACTCCTAAAGATAAAGCTTCTTTATTGGCTTTATTGGATCCATGAACAAACGTAAGGTTTTTATAATGGAAAAACGTTCTTTAGATTTTTAAATCTTTCTTAAAGGGATATTTCACCAATGGAAAGATGAATGTGAATATAAAATGGGTCATTTATGTAGAAATTAGTTTTGAATTTAGAGCTTTCTAGACTTAGAAAAGCCAGAAAATGTATTATGTATGTATAATATATGTGGATGAAAACAACAACTCCCAGAATGCACTTGCTTCGCTGCCCTAGGAGGCCACGCCTACCGGTAACAGAGCGCAGTCGTTAAACAACAAGTCTAGGCTACTAGTGATGAGTCTGCCCGAAAATGTGTTTCAAGATCGATAAATCACTCGTCTCATTGTAGTCTTGAGGTTCTTCAGGGAATGAACATGTCATCATATTCCTCATTATAATAATTCATACGCAGAATAAAGGGGCGGGGCCTGGTTGAGTGAGTTTGTAACTTTAAACTGGTGGTTATGGTAAGAGCGGGACATTTCCCAAACACACTCAAAGCGCTCGACCAATCAGAGCGCACTGCTCCAACCGACCAATCAGAGCACAGTGTGCTCTAGACCCTTATAAAGGGATAAAGTGAAGAAACCTAGAGTTCCATACAGAATCCTATTGAACCTTTTTTCTAAGATTGTAGAAAGACGAGAGATACAGGCAACGAAACTCTAAGATGACCCTTGTGTGACCTTTTGTGAAGCAGAAATACATCTAACTGCCATCTTACCTTTTTTCCTTCTCCATATATGAGTGGAAACTTCAGATCTTCTTCCTGAACTGTTTTGTATGCCCTGAACAAAGCAAAAACAGACATCAGACTGGAGAAGTGAAGAGAGAACTCCAGCGTCTGAGTTTCAGCTACACACACTGAATACTGATGGAAAAATATTAAACCAATATTAAATCATGTCGTTTAAACGTTTGGGCTCAGTACTTTGATTTTATTGTTTTGTTAGAAAGACATTATAATCATATAACATTGATAATAATAAATGTTCCTTGAGCATCAGATCATCATATTAGAGTGATTTCTGACGGGTCATGTGACACTGAAGACTGGAGTAATGATGCTTTGATCACAGGAATAAATTACATTTTAATATATATTCACATAGAAAACTGATGATTTTACATCGTAAAAATATATCACAATTTTTTGTGTATTTCTGATCAAGTAAATGCAGTCTCAGTGAGCAGGAGAGACTTTAGCGGCCCCCTTAAGCATCTGGGAGCCTATTTCAATAACTAATAATATGAGGCCCTACCCACATAAAACATAAACATAATAAAAAGCAGAGATTCCTGTTGTTTTGCATCAGTGGTATATTATTTTATTGCATGCACATTCAGCTTCATGAACAGGCAGCTCAAAATTGAAAAAAAAAACAACCTTATTTGATTAAAACTATATACAATTATACAGCGTTTTACGTTGGAATAAGCCTCGCCCTGGATAAGACCCTGAGACTGAATAAAGCTTTTCTTCTGTTGTCCGATATCTTTCGTTTTTCAGCACCACTAGCATATATATGTTTCATTTCCACATTCTGCTCAAAATAACATTTTTCCCTAGCGGCAAACAAGCCAAAGGTATAAATACATAAACTACCAATATTATACGTCGACATGGTAACCGCGAGTTCGTCCGATCAGAGACGTCAGTGTTTTGCAAATAACAAGGTTGATTTCATAGCTTGTGGCTTTTATAGGAGCAGAAACATTCGTTATTATAACCTCGTAGCTCGAGGTCAATCTATCTTGAATGGTAGGGTTGGGTATCGTTTGAATTTGAACGATTCTGATTCCGATTCTTGTTTCGATTCCGGTTCCTAACGATTCTCGATTCCGATTCTTTTAAGAGGCATGGTCAAAAAAGTTTAGCTAACCTTGCTAACCAACGGCCTTTCTGAAGGAAATACTCCTTCTGTCACAAATACTCCTTTTGTCACAAATTTTGCATTTTGCCGAGATTTCGTTATTTTTAGAAAAGTGAAGCCACACTTTGGATCGCCGACGTAAGCTACTTATGTTCGACTCGCGCGGTTATGCCAACACTTCCGGTAGACGCTTCTTCATTGGTGTTGTTCAGCGGTTTCTTCTTCCGGTCGGCGGACTGTGAATATCGAAACTAGGAATCGAAATTTTTACTTTTGAACGATTCCGGGAAAAACGAAAAGTTAGTCCCGGTTCCAATCGATACTCGATACCCAATCCTATTGAATGGTTTAGACATTATCGCTGAAAGTCAATATCCTACGGAGAAAATGAAGGCGGGGCCTGTTTCAATTGAAACAAGATCTCACTGCAGAACGTCAAATCCACAGCCCACAACCCAGCTCCGACCCCTGATCCCTAAACCTACCCAACTCCACCCCTCAGATCTGGATCCGACTCGTGTACTGCAATGAGGTGCTACATTATTTGAGTTTTCTGGTCTATTATTGTGATACGATAAAGACATGAAATCAGAATGAACTCTGATTGGCCGCTTTACATGTCATTCAAACGGTTCTTGAGCAGAATAATATTAATTGTTGCCGATATTCATCATAGCTCACCATCCGTTCATCGTGAAGTCTCGGTACAGCATTCTCTTCCCAACCTCTTTTTTCGTGACCCTTCTGGGGAACTCCAGGTTGGTGAAGTCGTTTCCCAGCAGTGACGGCTGCAGGTGAGCCTGGGAGAGAACAGGACAAGACCAGTTTTCCTCTGCAAAATCTAGGATGTTTTCCTTGATGGAACTCAAACAAACATCAGAGTGCAAAAAAACAACATTTTCCAAGGCCACATTTTCTGAAAAACACAACTGAGGAACAAACGTTTGGTTTCCTGAATGAACCGGATCATTATTCTCCGGGAAATCCCGATTTCTCTCACCAGGAACTGAAGTCTCTGACGCTCCGATTCTGGAGTGAAGGAGCTGGACATGGGAATGATCTCTCCTGACCGGATGATCACAGCCCTGAAACACCCACAACAAAGTCATGCTTACCTTTACTTTAATTATAAAGACCAAAAACAGCATAAAAACAAACAACATGAAACTTATTAATACAGATACTAGCCCAACCTCTCAAAACATAAAGACAAGAGATCGTTTTTAAAGGAGCCGTATGTAAGATTGTGGCCAAAACTGGTACTGCAATCACTTTCAAATTACGGTAGAGCGGTGTATCGGTGAACTTTTGCATCATATTGTAATTTTTCGAGTTTCACCTATATATGTGTGCAAAACAGAATTCATGGATTGTGTGAAATCTACCAGAGAAGAAAAGATCAAATAGAATAGATAATGAAAATGCTGTTAAAAACAAAGCAAAGTAAAATCTACATTATTTTCCTTTCCAGTCCATTTAATCATATTTTTTGAATTTTCAGCATCATTACTCCAGTCTTCAGTGTCACATGATCTTTCAGAAATCACTCTGATATGAGGATTTGATGCTCAAGATTTATGATTATTATCAATGTTGAAACCAGTTCATATTTTTGTGGGATTCACATCCAATCAATCGATTCAATAGAACAGCGTTTATTTGACATAGTCTGTAACATTATAAATGTCTTTAATGTCACTTTTAATCAATTTAATGCAATCTTAGACCCCAAACATTTGAACGATAGTGTATGTATTATAGAAATTATTAAGATATAGTCATACTATATCTTCAGTCTAGACATAAGCTCTCTGAAATGAGAATATATGAAATGTGCTTTATGAAAAGGTGATGTAAGTCTCACCTGCTGTCGCCGGCATTGGCCACGTACAGTTTTCCGAGTAAATACATCACCACTAGCGCAGTACATCCTCCAGAGATCGAGTAAACCAACCTCTCTCGAGCGATGTGAGCGTCCTGAGATCACACACACACACAAGGACAACTCAACCCAAAGCTGTTAAAATCAATGCAAAACTTTAAAACATCAACAGCTGTTTTCTATGTGAATATATATTCAAATGTCATTTATTCCTGTGATCAAAGCTCACATGATCCTTCAGAAATCACTCGATGCTCAACCCTTCATTAAAAATTGCGGGAAGCTTTTAAAAAAAACATTTATTTTGAAAGATTGAATTTGCTACATCATTACTTCGATGTCACATGATCCTTCAGAAATCACTCAAGAAACGTGATAATTATCACTGTTGAATGCAGATTATTTGGGAAACGAGTTCGGCTCATTTACATGAATGCCTCGTTCAGCCTGCCATCTAGTGGCCGTTAGAGACTCGGATTCCTGATCCAGAAACCACTCACCATTTCCTTGAAGGCGTTTTCTATGGCTCCCACCACCAGACTCTCCTGTTTGATCTTCTTCTCCATGAAGAAGCGCGGGGCCGTTGTGTTCGGGGACCCCTTGAGCGAGGCGGCCCGGGACAGGCCTCGCTGGGAGCCTCCGGCGGACAGGTGGAGCTGGGGAAGGTGGTGTACGGGGTTCTCCTCGCCATAACACGTGGGCGGCTGGAGCGACGGGTTCTGCAGGATCTCCAGAACCTCCTGGAGCTGCTCCTCGATGTGCAGGTGGAGAAACTTGGCTGCGAAAACAGCCGCTCCAGAACCTCCGTGACCGTCGAACAAACCCCAGTAGTGGAAGTCCAGCTCCTTCACCTCCTGCAGAAACAACAAATCAAATCATTATGTTGTGGACCTTCAGGCACTTTCAACTTTCCAATCAATCAACCAATCAGATTTGAGGGACAAGTTTTACAGTTTATGTCAAGTTTATGAAGTACTTAAACGTAGGGCTGCACAATTAATCGAATTTGTAATCGCGATTACAATTATGGATGCCACAATTATGTAAGTGTTCAAAGGCACAATTATAAAAAGTCCACTTACATTATTCTGTGTGCTTAAAATGTGTTTTTTTACAGCTTATCTTGAGGGTTTTTCCCCCATTGTTTTAATTTTAGTTAGTGTAACATTATAATTATAATTCGCATTAAAGCAACACTATCTAAGATTGTTTACTTAAAATAATGTTTCCAAAATCTTATCAGTGGTTCATCAAGTCGTAACAGGGTGAAAGGCATTTCTGCCGTCGCCTGACGGGCTCTGTATCACTTCTACTGGCACTATGTAACTTCGGGGTTCGGGTAGGAAACCGACCACAAAAAGAACTACAAAATTCGACAGCTTTACATCAAGCACTATAATAGTCATTATTTCGTTTTTCTTCGTTTCTGATGTCGCAATACATCATCCTTTCATGAAATCATGTAACATACTCTACCTTGTCTGTGGACATCGTTCATTCTAAAGCCGCTGCTGGATAAACAGTGAGCGTGCGTGTGACGGTAGGCTAAATTATTTGCGACAGCGGCAATGGACAATTTCGTTTCCAACCAGTAGGGCGACCGAAGAGGAAAAGTTACTTGGTGTTACTTAAACCATAGAAAAGCATTGAAAGTTTTTCAGGAGTTTTCAGCCGTTTTATTTTAACAATTTGCATGCAGTCACTTCGAACAATGGCATAAAGCTGTTCAAAACATCATTCAATGTAAATTGTGATAATCGTAATAAATAATCGCAATTATAATTTCAAGGCAATACTCGACAATTATGATTTTTGTCATAATCGTGCAGCCCTACTTAAACATCAGCGTTATTCAGCTAGCTACTGTGATTTTAGGGAACAGTAATGGGTAGGGTTAGGTTTAGGGATAGGGATTGGGAAAGGACTACATTTTGGGACAGGAATGTTGATCCAGGAACATGTCTTACTTGGCAAAATCACGGTGAATTGTGTACATGCAAAACAGAGATAACAGGAAAATGAGGCAACACATATTAGCCGCTTTCTGACCGGAGGGACTTTTGCAGTTCCTAGAACCTAACGTTCCTATAACCCTTTTTTTCTCGTGTTCCGACCGGACTAAATTAGGGATTTTTAGTTCCTCAGACCGTAGTTCCTATAACTATTTCAGTACCTAGTCTAGAGCGAGGACTTTTTTTAGTTCCCTTTCCCTAGGTCTACGTTGATTGGTTCATGTAGCGCGCTGTCTGCCATACGCGGTGTTTTTGCAAAACATTACAACGAGGATTAAGACAAACGTAACGCATTCAACCAGCTAATTGCTAATGCTAGCTAAACTTACCCGTCGTTTTGTTTGCCTCCTGCGCTCTGGCCTTTATCTTCTTCCATCATATTACTTATTATCATATTACGCTGGAGCCTTCGTCTTCTGTGTTTCTTTGTACAGAACTCAAGCATAATCTTTAAACGCCGCCGTTCGTACTCTGTTATTAAGGTCCCGGCAAGGCAGAACAGGAACCAGTGTTGTGGTACTCGAGACTCGGTCTCGAGACCATATTTTAATGGTCTTGGTCTTGTCATGGACTCGTGTCCATTTGGACTCGAAATTGACTCGTACTCGAACATTTTTTTTTTTAGGACTCGGAATTATTCCCGAGTCCACTCGAGTTCAATTAAAAATATTTTTCATGATTATTAATGTATGTTAATAAAATATTTTTTTTAATTGATTGACACGCCCAGTGATTGGTGATTTTCTAGTGCGCAACTGCGCATGACAAATTGTAATAAAATTACTTTTAACACCACCTACTATGTGGCCTTTTTACCCTAAACTGATCATATTTTTTCAGTAAATTCAGTAAAAAAAAAAAAAAGGATTTCTCTAAGTAAATAAAAGTAAATTAGGTAATCAACCCTCACTGGTCTCGGACTCGACTCTCTATGGACTCGGTCTTGACTCGGACTCGACTCTCTCTGGTCTCGGTGTCGACTCGGACTCGAGTGAGGTGGTCTCGACTACAACACTGACAGGAACATTGCTATAGCCTCCTCCATGCTGGTTTGTTGTTGTTGTATGTGGCCACGCTACGTCTAGTGCTTGCGTTACCCCTCCTACCAGTTCCTATGGCCACTTGGCCAGCAGTGCAAACGCAAGCAGCAAAACCGAGATTGGGGGAGAGTAGTTCTTAGAACTGTTTAGAAGTGGACAGTTCCTATAACTAAGTTACTGTAACTACTTGGTCGGAAAGCGGCTTTTGTTTCTAGAAGAAAATAGTGTCGCAGTCACAGCTCATCTGAAAGCTGGATAAGTTAGCTTGTTTCCATTGATGTATGGTTTGTTAGGATAGGATAATATTTAGCCTGAAAACCTGGAATCTGAGGGTGCAAAAAAAATCTAAATATTGCCAAAATCGCCTTTAAAGTCGTGCATTTATATTCACGATTGTACTGCTTTCACTCACAAAAAGAAATGTTTTATTTATTTATATTTATGGTAGGAAATTTACAAAATATATTCATGGAACATGAGTTTTAAAGAGTAACTAAACACCAAACCAACTTTTTTTTTAGTTAATGATCTGTAAGAATGGATCTTTATTAATACCAGTCATTGATTTGAGTAACTTTTTTGGCATTTGTTTATAAAGTGTTTTTAAACGTCTTAGTGCTGCCCTCTTCAGGTTGAATGGTGGCTACTGCAGTTGAATTTTCCTATTGGATGTTCCACACGTACGCAGGTTTCAGCTCACCACGCGAGCTACGCCCTTGGCAGTATAAAAACCATCTTGTGTCGTCAAAACCACTGTAGGGAGTCAGGAATTGTGAGTATTGAAAACGTGTTTTAGCATCTATTTCGTCCCCTTTCGGCAGTCAGCATTTTCAAATATTGCCAGTGGGTGGAGTCAGGGGTTTAGCTACCCTTTAAGATGCAGATTGGGCCATCTGACCAATCAGAGCAGAGTACACCAATCACAACAGACTGGACCATCTGACCAATCAGAGCAGACTCTCGGAAAGGAGGGGATTTCGAGAGACCGAATCCTTTTTCAAATTGTTTAGACACTGTGAGAAGAGAGCCTTAAAGGCGGGCATAAACTGTGCGATTTTCGTCCGATTTTGAGCCGAATTCTGACTCGTGCGACTCTTTTCCGTGTCGGACCGATTTTCAGCTTTGTCGTGCGTCGTTTGTCGTGCAGTGTACAGGGAGAAACGAGAGGCGATTAACCTCTCACGATCGACAATCGGATGGTCGGATGAATTTCTGCCATGTCAGAAATTTTGGTCGCTCCTCGTGACTATATCGCACAGTTGAAGCAAAGCTACGAACCGATTGCCCTAAACTCAGTGTTTTTCCCTTTCGCGCCTGCGCGAAAACAGAAGTTTAACCATTTTATCTGCAAAATAAAATTAAAATAAAAACGAAAAGAGGGAGATATTTAAGTTCTGTAGTTCAAACTAGCTACAGATTACAGTCGCTTACCTCGAATTCGTGTTGCAAAATGGATAATATTAGCCTACCCACGTCTTCCAAGCCACCTGCGATGTAACACCTCTTTTATTAATTTGTTAAACAATGTTTTTGAAATAAACCTGTTTTTAATTTTCATTGATGATTAATTATGGCTATTATAGACTGTTAATAGCATATTTTATATGCCTATAATTCATAAATCGACCTAAATGTTTTAGACAATTTTTAATGAGGAGTAAGATTGCACTCACAGCACGTTGGTTATATATGTGCTGTGAAAATATTGCGTGGCAAATTAATTACAATAGCGGATCAATTTAATAATAAAATTAGCCTATAGGCCTCCCCAAATAATGATAATACAATAATACTAATAATAATTAAATGCATAAACTGAAAATGCTAAATCATCTTGATATGGATAGCAGATGCTTGTTTTGACAATATCTCTGGATACATACACGTCTATAGGCGCAATCCAGGGGGTTATCGCAGATATTACACGTATAGTGTGAGCAGTGAAGTCGCAGCTCGACGATCGGACCGTACAGTGTGAGCACATAAATCCTGAACTTTGGCTTTGCATCGCATGCGATTTACTCGTTGAGTGTGAGTACCTTACTGAAATAGCACAGACATCGCACAGTGTATGCCCGCCTTTAATTAAAATAGCGTAATGGGGCACTTTAAAACCTGAGTGTGTTATGAAACATCTCTCATTATCTGTGGAAAGCCCTTCTCCCAGTTTAGATGTGACCCTCACCGTGCTGTCGATGGTCTCCAGTATGTCAGCGCTGGGCAGAGAAGAGCGCCTCCTGGTGGGAGTGTAACTGGGGCTGGACGGGTCCGCGGGTCTTTTCCTGAGCTCCACCACCTCACAACACGCCTGGTCCTCGTTTAGGGCACTTTTACCTGCATTGATCACCCTGTGGAGACACAACAACAGTTTCCCCATTAACAACATGCACATGTAAAACCGTATCTGGAGAATGTAGATATCCGAGAACAATTTAAAATATTGTATCAATGAATGCAGACTATGGCACCGTTAAGTTTAAATCTACAACCTTCATGAGGTCTTCATCAAACGAAGCTTTTCGAGCTCCTAAACAGAGAGTTGTTGCAGCGTGCGTCTAAAGAGCACGAGACTCGTCAACATCTGATAATCGCCCACATCGCAACAGGGTTTCCACGGAAACTGATTTCTGCATCCTCGTTAGTTAATGAGGATCTAATGGGATTCATACTGTCCTGAGAGGAGACACATCGGTGACGTCTCATTCCTGGAAATGCTGCTTTTTATGTACAAAATGTGACTGGATTCAAGGAAACAATATTTCTCACAACCAATCAGAAGGTTAAAAACACACATTAACCACTCAATCAAGAACACGAAATCCAGAGCATCCTCATCACAGAGATAAAGGTGAATTAAGAGGAACGATATAATCAAATCACTGACTACAGCTCATACAAAATATGTTACGCTTATTGTTAAATGGTTAAATATATTTACATATTGTAGTCGTCATTCTTGTAAATTGCAGTGATGTTACTGTTAAATATAGCTATTAAAAATAGTTTTTGGTAATTAAATAAAACTGAAATAAAATTAAATAGAAATACTTACTTTTTTAAAAAATACTAAAACTGAAACAAAATAAATTAAATATATATATTCTTTAAATAAAAATAATAAAAAAACACAAAAACACATAACATAATTACTAAAACTTAAATTTAATAAAAAAAATATATAAAGACTAATTCAAAATATTAACAGATTAATAATACTAAAATAACAAACAGGTTAGTGTATTCATCGTTTAATATTCTCCATCCCAGTACAGTTTGAGTCCAGATAAAGCATTCTGGTCTGAGTCTGGGAGTCAATACAAATTAAAATCAGTATCATGTATCATTACTGCCAAACATATGGTAGCCTATATAACAATTCATAAAACTCAACCTGTCTGAAATCTTATTCTAATGCGGTAATAATACTAGAGTCTGCTGTAGGTCTAGACATGACAGTTTTTATATTATTATTATTATTTTTAAACCAGAACAATACAATGAGACATAGGCCTACTCTTCAAAGTACAAATACAAAGTAGGCCTAAAAAGTCAAATAAAATTAAAATAAAACAGAAGGACCAGAAACAAACTGATAACAAACAAAAGAAAAAGGATGCTAGTCTACTTCACACAACATCACACCTGCATGCTTATAAGATCTAACAGCCGACATGACGGACAGTTTATGCGCAAAATGCGCGCATGCGCCCTAGCTAAACCTGCACGGATGGAAATGAAAGTATGGAATCATCTTGCATTCTCTATTCCTCATGTCATTCTCATAATACTGTCATGTGATTATTTTCATCGTGTTGAGAGCGAACACACACATGCAGCATCCGCGTACTCACTCCGCGTAACCGGTGGCCCAGGGCAGCTTGATCTCCTTGAGGATGAGGATGGGTCTGGAGATGTGATCCGCAGAGCACTCCACCTCGTCCGGGGACAGCGCGAGGAAATCCGGCCTGCTGTACCGGAACCGGGCCGGGAGATCCGCGGGAGACTCGGTCGCGCTCGAGCCCGAAGCCATGATGCCGCCGATGATGTTGGAGACCGCGGACCGCACGCGTGTCATCATCATGATGATGTTGCTTGGTGGTGATGATGATGGTTGGTGGTGGTGATGATGATGATGATGGTCGCAGGCACGCGCACTGAACGCTGGTGCACACACGCAGCGCGCACCTTGGAAGGAACTGAACCCTGGGTGACGTCACTGGTCATTGGTGACTTTGACCCTCACATTTATGTTACTTCCTTATTATATGTATGTGTAAAAATAAATGCAATTGTATTGTTGATTCACGTTCAATATCTCCATCAGGAATAACTATTTTGGTTCTTAGACATTGTACCGTATTTTTTTTAACACTTTTAATACAGTTTATTACTTAGTAGTATATTTTTGTCTTGTCTCCAGTGAAAATATCAAAAAAAAATCTTAAATCTAGATGCATTTGCTTGAGTAAAATACCATAAGATATTATGTCCGGTTTTCCGGGGGAATTAATCCAAATGAAGCGAGTTCATGGTTTAAAAAAGCTCAATTATTTGCTAATGGGGTGAGAAAAATAATCTTAAGTCAAACAGAAACAAGATTATTTTTCTTACGACATTGGCAAATAGTTTAGCTTTTTTTTTTTAAGCAAAAACTCACTTCATTTAGATTTTTACCCCCCAGAAAACAACATAATATCTTATGGTATTTCACTACTTGTCTTTAGCAAATGCACATGTTTGATATTTGGACTGACAAATATCAAGACAAAAATACTAGCTAATTCTAATTTTTTTTGCAGTGCAAGTAAAAGAAATCAAGACACACTTCCTCTCCATATAACACAGGATAAAACTAATTCTCAAATAAAATGGCATCCACCTCCCTAAAAATTATCCCAAAAATTACACATGGTGTCAGCAAATATATAAACTCGTGTAAAAATGATGATTTATGCATGCATATCACTATCAGACTTTAAAAAGTGCTTTATCTCTCCATCTTTAGCCGATTTAATATTGTGTGTTCAATGCTGAACTGTTTAAACAACATCACACTCAACAACTGTTTCAATAATCCCAGGGGATTATGGGATTTGTGCAGAATGACAGGAATATGCCATCTGTTATCGCTGTTATCTGGCTAACATGAATCACAGATCAGCCTGTAATCCATCTCAACAACTACCGCAGACAGGAATATGTCCTCTGGTGAAAAGCAGACTTTACTCACCCTGGTGTTGTTCAAACCCGTACAGCGCTGTGTACACTATATTTCTTCAGATCTGTGTGAAGGAAAGACTGAAATGTAATTCATAAAGATAACATATAAGCTTGTTTTTTATGTGATGCAAATGGGCCTCTGTATAATTTACTGTTATGATACTTAAAGCGCTGTCATGTCTCATAGTGGCCACCAGATGTCAGTGTTTCCTAAGAACAAAAGACTTAATTAAACTGAATTTAATCAATAAAGATAACATATAAATGTTTTCTAAAGTGATGCAAATAGGCCTCTGTATACTTAACTGTTATGATGCCTTTTAAAAATAAAATAAAATAAATAAAGCGCTGTCGTGTCTCATAGTGGCCACCAGATGTCAGTGTTTCCTAAGAACAAAAGGCTTAATTAAACTGAATTTAATTTATAAAGATAACATATAAATGTTTTCTAATGTGATGCAAATAGGCCTCTGTATACTTTACTGTTATGATGCCTTTTTAAAAATAAAATAAAATAAATAAAGCCTGTCGCGTCTCATAGTGGCCACCAGATGTCAGTGTTTCCTAAGAACAAATGCTCTCTTTCTCAACCGAACAGAGCACAGACTGAGTGTGAAGGGTTTGACGTGGGCCAGCTTTCATTAGAATTATTAACCTAATAACACATGAACCGTACAGGATAATTGTTGGATAATACAGCAGATCATCAGGTACAGTAGGGCCTACATGTTCCTATTGATGGTCTAAATCAATGTTTAATGCTCGGTTTGAATCATTGGTTAGTTTTATTGCTCTCTGCCACGCTCTTGTCACTCTTGAAAAATAACGCAGATTTATTTTTACAGCCATCTTTGATCATATTTACCAGGGGTGCCAGTAATTTTGTCAAATTTGGTTGTAATGAATAGCAAATATGTGTGTAATGTACATCATGGGATTATTAAATAACAACCGTGTGAATTACAATAAGTAATCAATCAATCAAAAAAAAAAAAAATCTGTGCTAGTTCACTGAAAAAAAAAGTCTGTTGGATTTACATGATTTGATAGTGTACATCGGTCCCACATGAATCAATTAAGTTACACAAACATAATTTATTAATGTATCTTCAATGTCATGAAATTAAGTCATTTTAAGTTATCCAATTAAGTAGTCTCAAAGTGATTTTAAACAGCTCCCTGATTGGCTGTTTCAGGTATTCAAATTCATATATTCATTTATCCAATTAAGATTGAATGTGTTTGTCACACTTCTCAACATCTAGTCTATAGTCTGCAGTTAGCTACCAATAGTATTTGGTGGCATACTGAATGCTAAGGTATACATACACCTTCAGCAAAAAGCAGTTGCTATACACATTGTTGAATCGGTCCACAGCCTAACCAAATCATCCACTCTTCTCCACAATGGTAACCAACTGTAATTCAAATGGTTCTAATAATTCCAATGTAATTGAACATTAAACACAATTACACACTAACCTTTTCTTATTTTCTCAAAAACATATAAAATAACACTTCATTTCAACATTTATTCTCTCATAATTCAGACATATGCAAAGCATGCTGGGAATTAACATGCACCGCCCAATTTCAGTTAATGCAACACAAATCATTCATGTTATCCAACACAAACGGATTAAGTAAACTTAAATTGTACATATATTTAAGCAGATTGGACACAATCAAATTAAGTTTGGACAAAATGTAAAGCAATTATGTTGCTTAAGCTAATTTTAATTAAGCGATTTGAACAAGCAGCAAAAATCATTTTTTTCAGTGTTCAATTATTGACTTCATTTTACTCCCCAAATCCTTCATTAACAAACAAACTCTAAAACTGAACACAATGCCACAGATCTCTAAATTATAACAATTAACCTCAAACTAACTATATGTTAGTAACTATATATAACTACTTTATTATCTCACACCATCAGCGTGTACATTTGGTAATTTAGTTGTAAAAACACTTTTTTTTTTTTTTTTACAATTAAATCTAGTGTGTGTATTATCTTGAGCAATCTTGACAAGGCTTTTTTAGATATAGGCTATGTCTTTTCGAGATACGAAGTAAAATTTATTTAAAAGACTAAATAAATAAAAGACTGTCGCAAAGACATAATAATACCAATATGAGCGGTTTGATGGTGTGATGCTTTAAATGTCGCCAGATGTGCAATGATAAAGCTAAATGTTTTTTTTTTTTATATGGAGTGACTTCAGATTTCTGGAATGTTCTGGTTGGAGATTAAATATATCCGACAAAATCTCACCATCATTTATATGACGTCACTACCGTCATCCGGCTGTTCACACGCTACAAAATAAAAAGAAATCCTTAATTCTTTCCAGATGACCAGCATCCCGATCCCAGATCCTCTGAGTATCTCCATCAGTATCGGGTCAGTGAGCATGAGGACTCGAGACCGTCTCCGACGCTGGCATTTCTCCATGTAATTGGATTGGAAAGGTCAGACGTGTTGTTTCGTGATGCTTTATTGTGTTTGCTGGTTTGATGCTGGTCACAGACTGCCAGTTATTAAGACACAGACTCAAGAGGGGATGTCATTACAACAGCAAACTCGTGTTTAAATGAGGAGGACGTTCACTAATGAATTGCATGCGTTGTTGATGTGGTTGTTTAAGCCTATTTCTGTTCATGCAATCTGAAATCATTAATAAACAAACATGCGACAATTTCTGAACATATCTACAAACCTGAAATAAACGTGCATTTACAGCATGCTTTAATAGCGTCATGTTAATCAATTGTGGATCCAGAATGTGCCGCATGCGCTGTTTCTCATGCTAAACGCCACAATTGTAGTGAATTTGAGTGATTGGCGGCGGCCGCATACCTAATAATAGTGCGTCTCAGCTGCACTCTATCCATCCTAAACAGTGTGTGATATTAGTATAAGTGTGTCCCAAAGCATATATGTTCACTATTCACTATTTCCGGTGGATTTTCCAAGTGTGGATCCGTGCTCATTATAAGAGAAGCGAAAAAGAAAAAGCGCTAAAAAACTACAAAACATGGTGGATAAGGTTTCTGATTGGTTTGAGTGACTAATCAAAGTTTAACCTGATCAAAGAAAAATATTTATTTGATGTTATCCGTGAAAGGACACTCTGACAGGATGATTGACAGGTCAGTTTACTGTGAATTCACAGTGAATAAACTAATGCTAACATGATATTTATAAGGTATTAATAAATGTTGAAATTAACATTAACATATATTAATAAATGCTGTATAAGTGCAGTTCATTATTAGTTCATACAACTGATGTAGTTAACAAATGAACCTTATTCTAATCTAAAGTATATACAATATGATAAAGACAAATGCGTTTGTTTTCCACTATAGGATGGGAGAATGTTATTATAGCCTGCAATGAATTCTGGGAAATGCTCATTTATCACACTGGGACATCCGTTTAACGTACACAAAGTAGAAATATTTGATTCCGAGTTCCCTCCTGTCACTCAACCAATCACTCTCCGACTGCAACGGCCTTCTCAACATTCCGAACGCTGCTTAATGAGTGTTTCCCACGGCAACAGCGGGAGAAGAATAACAGAATGCCTGTTGTTATGGAATGGGAGTTCGTAAAGAGAGGCAGAGGGGAGGCAACAGCGGGAAAGACTTTCAAATGGGCTTCAACTTCTTAGTCTGTTCCCTGAAACCATGTTTTCCACAAACTTATTCTTACTAATAACTATTTACTGGAAGAGGCCGGTGCTACGTGGTTTCTAGGGCAATGCTTTGCACTGGCTGGTTGCTAGGGTGTTGCTCTGGGCATTTTGAGTGATTTTTATTGTGAATTGCTTGAGTGTTCTAGGAGATTGCTATGTTGTTTGATAACATGTTCTGGATGGTTGCTACTAGGGCACTATTATGCATTTGCTAAAGTGTTCTGGGTGGTTGCTAGGGTGTTGCTATGCAGTGTTTTACTGAGTTGATAAAGTGCTCTGAATGGT